GTACCGCACACCACATGAGCTTTCATCTTCACCTGGTGATGTATATGGGCAGAGGGTTTCACCTAACAACAGATTGCCTATACACCACAAAGCGACGAGCTTTGATGAGTACCAGCTTTCACCTCCATTTTCACCATCTCCATCCCCATCTCCACCCACATATTTGTCAGGAGCAAATCCTGGGCAGAGTCGAATGCGTTCAGGAACTGGCCCTGTCAGTATCCCTCATCCAATGATGGGTACAAGTTCCAGATACCTATCTCCTAATTTGTCTGATCCTAACAGGCATTCTCTCCCTCCAATGTCTCCCAGAAGCACAAAGCAGGATTCATCATCCAATGATTCCCCTTCTGGAATCAGGTCATTCCGGAAAATGGATCCACTAAGGACTCTAGAGTCTAATATCAGCACTATGAGTCCTGGACAAAAGGTGAGGAATTTCTAGTCAGCGGAAATAGCTGTTTTTCTTGATTTTAGGTGTGTTTTTGCACTTTGTTGTTCATACTTTTATTCCAAACATTGTACTTTTCAGAATCCTGCCAACTTTTGTTTGTAATCTTCCTTTTCAGATTTCTAGAGATGCTAGAGATGATTCAGGGCGGTTCTCGGGCTTGCTATCTTCAAGTGGTTCGCCACGTATATTTTCTAGAAGTTCTAGCAGACTGTCTTTTCAAGATGACTTGGATGTCTTTGATTTTTCCTGTCCTTTTATTGTTGATGATGTCGATACTTCCGATTCGCAAGTCAGGTAACTTTACTGCTCTTCTGTATTTTTGGAGTATTCTTCTTGGTAACTGAAAATCTTTACATTCATATTGCACAAAGTTCCTCTTGCAGCCTTGTGGAAAGTGCATCTGTGTTTTAATGTTTACCTCTCCCGGAGCCAATGCATTGGCTTTGTAGCTATTGTTAACAGGTTGGACATTGTTTAGAAAATGGCTGCTGGTGAGACATAAAGTTGAGCATTTTATGTAACTGATTTGGGAAATATAAGGTTTATATATTGAAGGGTCCACCTAGCTGTGATAGCTCAAGGGAGACGTGTGTAGCAAAGTTTCTTGAAGAGAACCATGAGGTCGCAGGTTCAAATCCCGACAAAGGCAAAACACTCTAGGTGATGTCTTCCCGTTTGCGTAGGCCATGTTGGACAGAACTGGTAAGACATAAAGTTGAGCATTTCTTCCCGGTACCTGTGTTGGTGGGAGGTAGCAGGTACCTGGTGGAATAGTCGAGATACGCGCAATCTGGCTTGGACACCACCATCATAACAAAAAATAAAATAATTATTGAAGTTACTTTTTGCCTTTAATTTTTTAAATGCAAAAAAAAAAAAAAAGATTTAGGGAAAATGTCCAAGAATCTTCTCTTTACTGTATAAAGGATTTATGAATAAGCTGCTGGAAAATCCAAGGTTATAAGCTCTTCATTTGTGAGCAAGTTAAAGGAGATTCAGGTCCCTCAAAATTGTGTTCAACATCGTTGTAATAATTGTCCTCCCCAAGATGAGAAAGTGGTGCTTAGTCATCTCAAAAAGAAGAAGAGATCTTGAGAATTCACATTTTGATTGTACCGATGAGCTCTTGGGAGTTTAATAATGCACGCATGTTCTAAAATGGGGATGGGTGCTTAATTATAGGCCGTTTAAGTATAGGCCGTTTAAGCATAGGCATGGAACTTCCCTAATTGATCCTAATTATATACACAATATTCCCTAATCTTCCTAATTGATAAAATATTCTATCTAATTAGTTTATCCTAACAGCCCTGCCAACAAGTAAGTTGGAGCAGGCATATTGTGTGAACCTAGATATTTGCTGGTTTATCCTAATAGTTGCCTTGAATATTATACCTTGTATCTGATGAATGGCTTCCACAACTTGTGGTATTTTGATATGCTGGACTTTGAGATTACACGAGTCTTTCCAATCGGTTTAACTGTCTTTATTCCAAGTTGTTAATTTTCCCTTACGCAACTTGCTTGGCTCTTCATCATCTTTTCAATTGTTCTCTGTTTTCAATTGTTCTTTTTCTTGTTTATATGCATTTGGTCAGAGGTTCAGATTTGGGAGTGGGTTGTCCACCAGGGAACCAAGAACCACACATTTAATACTCATATGACTTGAAGAGTACATATTTTATGCTTGTAGGAGTTAAAGAGTACAGTTTAAAACTCGTAGGATTAAAGAGTGGAAGGCTGCATATGCAAAACCACCTCTGAGTACACAAATGAAGTTTTCTGCATTAGAGTTGGTTGGTGTGTGTTGGATGGAATGGAAATGGCAATTCACCTTCTGGATTGGCAGGGCTTGAGATCCATTTTGAATGTGATTGGTTTTAAACAATTATTATGTGCGTTATATCCCTGGGTCCGATATTGAATAAAAATGAACCTTTCAGTAATTGCCGACAGACAGCAGCCACTGTGTTTGTCATAGTTTTTGTGTCTTCAATGCTATCATGCCATTAGATTTCAACTCAACTGTTATTTAATCTGTTATGCAGTGAGAACCTTGATGGGAGAAAAGGTTCGGAAGTCTCTTCTCAAGCATCTGCAACAACCAGAAAATCTCAAGATGCCGCTGTAGGTGCCCTTGTTCACATGCTGAGAACTGCTCCTCCTCTGCGCCAAGATTCTAGCTGTTATACCTCACATAGCGTAAAGACTGAACAGGAGGGAGAACTTGGAACTGCATCTGGATTTTTTATCAATAGAAAGGCATCAGATGCTCTTGAGGAGCTCAAAACTTACAAAGATTTGAAAGATCTACTACTGTCCAAGAGTGCAACCCGTTCAGTCAGTGAGGGTGGAACTTAACCTGACGTATCCCACGCACAAAAGTTAGCTCACAGTGGACGAAGATAGTTGATATTTGCCCCTTGTGTTCATGAACAAACTTTTCTATGGGAAACTCCATTGTCTCAGAAGTTTGGAGGGCTAACAGATTCTGTACATAAGGTGCTGATGAAATAGCAAACATAGTTGAAACAGTTGACTGATTTTGACACACATTTTAAGAACATTGATGGATGTGAAATATCAACAAAAAGAAAAAAAAAGAAAGAACATTGTTGGATGTGAAAAACAAAAAGAGAAAAAGTAGCGTTCTTTCAAGTCAACATACCGACTATGACTCGGTATTGACACTTAGTGGGCGTTTGCACATAAGAATTGTGAAATTTCGGAAAAAAGTGAAAAAAATTCTAAGTGAAAATGGTATTTGAAAATTAGAGTTGTATTTGGACGTGAATACAATTTGAAGTTTTTGAATTTTTGCGAGTTATTTGAAGTGAAAATTTTGAAAAATAGCTTTTTGGAGTTTTTAAATTTTTTTGATAAATTTCGAAATTTAACCTCAAGTTAAATTTGAAATTTTCATGGCCAAACACTCATTCCTAGAAAATGATTTTTTTTATGGGCAAACGGGCCCTAGTAAATTAGTTCAATAAATGGTCGTTTGATATGAGGTATAAGAAGATATATTGCTGGTATAAAAATTTAATACCATCTTAATACTTCGTTTGGTTAGCAAATCAGGTATAAGTTATCCCAGGATTAAAATTAACACCAGAATGGGTAATTAGCACCGGTATAACTTATATATTCTTCTTACAAATTATACAATTGTCATATTTAGTACAGCATACCAAACAATGGATAAAAAACAATCCCAGCATAACTAATCCCATCATAACTTATCCCAACATAACTTATACCAATATAACTTATCCCGACATAAGCCATATTCAAACCAAACGACCCCTAAATGGACTAATTCTCAAGAACAATGTTCCTCAAGTTGAGTTAATAGCAGCAGAAAATGGACCGGGTAGAGAGTACTACTCAGTTATGGTAATATGTACATTACTTTTTAGACATTAGAATACAACAGTAAATTTTGGTTATGTTTTCATGAAGTAAAAAATAGTGGAGTAGTAGGAGTTTAGTGTGCACACGAGATGCTCTTTACAACATAACACTTTAAGGTACTTTCTTATAAACCAAAAAAGGAATAATGGTGCCTAAAATAATATTAAAAGTTGAAGTTGCATTTGCTTTAAGCAACGAGGGTTTGTGCGGTATGAGGTTCCATAAGTTCAAGGCTAACGTAAAAGATTCCAGAGAAATGCAGAGATGGGTTTGTTTTAGTCAATTCTGTTAATTTTGTTCAGTTATATAGACAAATGACAGAAATAGAGTACTTCTAAACTTAAAGGGACTATTTATTTGTTTATTTGCAATTATAAATATATGAATAGCTTTCTATTCCTGGGATCTCCATCAATTTGGTAAAACCTGTGTGCTTTAAGGGTGTGTTTGGTATGACAGAAAACTTTTTCCGAAAAATATTTTTTCATTTTTCACTGTTTGGTTGCACAAAATAATTTGAAAAATACTTTCCTAGATATCACATTTTCCTAAAATTTTTGAAGAAAAATGACTTCTCTAGAAAAAGTTAGAAAAATATTTTCCAAAAACTTCACCTACCTTCACATCTAACCCCAACCCCACCTCTCCCACTCCTTCTCTCCAAAAAGACCTTTTGTCCCATATATTTTCTGTTTTTTGTTTTGTTTTTTTTGCACACCACGCACCCCACCCCAACCCCTCAAATCCCCTCCCCCTATTTTTTTAATTAATATTGTTCTGATTTTTTCATTTCCAAATTTTACGAGTTCCAAAGTTATGAGTTTGGAGGTTTATGTGTTTAGAAGTTTGTGACTTTAGAAATTATAGGGTTTATGAGTTCGAAAGTTTAGTGGCTCGGAAGGTTGTTGGTTCGAAAGTTGATAATTTCATATTTATTGTATCTAAATTATTTATGAATACTTTTGAGAAATTATTTTCTCTAATTTGAGTACCAAAATCAGATTACTATTTGTAATGTTTTCCGTTATACCAATTACCAAACACACCCTAGTGTTGGAAATCCGGTCACTTATTGGTTAAAAGCATGGTGTTGGAAATAGTGGACATATGTGATATAGATGTAGTAGTTTATATGCTCTTCTTTTTTTTCTCTTCTACCTTATTGCTGCGATGTTAAAAACATTAAATAAGTCTTTTTACCGTAAATTTTCTAGTCTCCATTTAGGCGAGGTCAACATTTGGTTTTGGCCTTTTGTTTTCTCATTAATTTTTTGAAAATATGAATGCTCGTACTGGTGCTTTGTTCATATTTTCATTTAGATGTATCGCCTATCATATTTTTAGACTGCTTGCGACAAATTCCAAATTAGGTCCATTTCTGTAATCACAGTTTCCTCAGAAAACAGAATCTGTAGCAACTCTCAAAGAAATCGTTGGTTGGATAAGGCTAATGAAAGATGGGGAAGGAGCCATTATATCAGGTTCCACTACAATTCAACCAGTCTGGCATGTTCTGACTGTAAATAACACACTACTCTTTTTTTTATTCGGATCGGATTTATGTTGGCTTTGTTGGGAGGCTCGCGTAGATCGAATGTACTTATTCGATCTAATAGAATGATTTTGCCGTATCCAGACTAATACCAATCCAAGCCATTTCATGAATAAACTGTGACCAATTAACCAACCAACAAAACCACTTGTAACGAATAAGATCTTGCCGTTGCATCGAAAGAGATAAATGTTGACTAATCTGGCTAGCTGACCCCTGGAATAAAATAAAGATAGAGGCTGCATTTGATATGGATCTTTTGATGGGATTACACTGGGTTTGTTGTTGTTGTATTGTGTTTGTGTTTTGTTGCCCTGGATTGCCTCTGTATAGGAGATTGAAGAACGAATGAATGTACTAAGCATCCATGTTAATTTATTCAGAGTATCTAAAGCACACAGTATCAAACCTGGATACTGACTGAAATTTTGAACGACTGCGCTTTCTTTTCGTTTATCGATTATGTGTACTCAAATCTCTGTGGAGAAGAGATACATATAAACAGGTTTTCATATGTTTTATGCAAATACTAACTAGTGTGATACTTAAGCTATGTTTATCCACTGTATCGAGAAAAAGGCAGACTCATTATGCTTTATGTGTTGTCAGTTTCGTTCAAATTATTCCACACTTTGGAGCCTAACAAGTCTTGAATACACACTGTCAAGCTCAGCCATCAGGGTTGAGTGGCTGCCCTTCTCCACAAGCTTACCTTTGTCCATAACAACTATAGTATCTGAATTTATTACTGTTGAAAGCCTGTGTGCTACTGTTATCTGAGTCATTTTTGTGCCTCCATAGTTGTTCAGCTTCATTGATTCCAATGCATTTACCACTGCTCTCTCGGACTCGGTATCTAATGCACTTGTTGCTTCATCCAACAGCATTATTGCTGGTCTTTTGAGTAACGCCCTTGCTATCGCTATCCGTTGCTTTTGTCCTCCAGAAAGTTGAGAGCCCTTTTCCCCAAGAACAGTATCATATCCATTGGGCAAGTTACTTATAAACTCATGTATGTTTGCTTCTCTTGACACTTCTATTATCTCAGATTCAGATGCTTTTTCACTTCCATAGCGGATATTGTTTCTAATTGAGCAGCTAAACAGGAGTGGCTCCTGTTGCACCAGTCCAATCTGTGCCCTTAACTTCCTAAGATTGTAATCTCTTATATCCTTGCTATCAATCAGAACTTTTCCCTCATTCACATCATAGAATCTAAGTAATAGGGCCAAGATTGAAGATTTTCCTGCTCCACTAGGCCCCACTATAGCCATCTTAACTCCAGCTTCAATTTGCAGACTGAAATTGTTTAGCACCAGTACTTCTGGCCTTGATGGATAACGAAACTGGACATTTTGGAACTCGATTTCCCCTTTGATGCTTTCAGTTGATGCATTGTCTGGCATGTCTGGTACAATTTCTGTGCACCGATCGAGGCTCTGGAACACAGGTTTTAGAATGCCGATGGCTGATAAAACAGTGGGTATCAGTGTCCATAGTTCTGTAATTGAGGGTACTGTTAGGGAAAATATCTGGTATGACCTTATGCCATCTTCAAAGCTGGCTTGGTTCTTGTCGACCAGAACTGTTGTGTACCATAAGGCCACTGCATGTGCAACGTTCCATACGCAAAGAGAGATCCCTTGTATGATTCCGTACTTGATGCTCTCTGCCCTCCCTTTCCTCAATGGTCTCGTTAAATACAATTTGGCCTTCTCAAGTATCTGTGTTTCGTAGCAGAAAGCTGCAACAGTCTTTATATTCATTGTAGATTCAGAGGCTAGGGAAACGAGTTCTGAGTGTGCAACAGCGCTATCACTAGAGAAACCTTTAGCTGACTTTGCTTGAACCAGTCCGCCTATAAAATGGCATGGCATTATAGCCCAAGCCACCAGACCCATTCTCCAGTTAACTTTCATACTAACAGTTGTTGCTATAAGTATGGAGGAGATGCACTGGACAATGACAGACATGCGATCAGCTATTATTGTCTTGACTGTGGATGTTTCATTGACTATCCTGGAGGTAAGTGGTCCAATACTGTTTTCGGGATTTTCAAACCAAGCCAATTCATTACGTAGTGCGGCTGAAAAACAATTTTTGGAATGTCATAAAAAGTTGATGCAGGACGAAGCAATAAGAAGCAGACAGATTGATTGATCTGATACGGAGGAGCACTGTAAGTACCTACCGGTGTACAAAGCTTGCCTGAGGTTTGTCATGGCCTTCTCTCCAGCTACTCCGAATAAGTAATGTTGCAAAGTGTGGGCAAACAGAGAAAGCAGTCCTATTGAGGTAAATATTACTGAATACCGAGCTACTTTCTCCTTTGAATCAGGATTGTAATATGCCACTCCTATTGTAATGACATAGAATCCAAAAACAGGTTTAGAGATTCCTGCAAAAGCTGCTGCAAAAGAGCCAATAGCAGTTTTTATGATCTCTCTCTTATTCAAGCCAAACCAGATTCTGAAGAATATACGTGTTTCTTTTTTTCCTTTCTGCTCCTTCTCACAGCGTTGTTTAAACTCTTTATGGAATTCCCTTGGCTCATCAGGCTGCTGATTGTCCTGAGGCGCATTGTCTTGTTGGATAAATTCAGCTTTCTCATTTGTAGCTTCCATCCTGTCAATTATAATGTATGCCATTTTAAATCCATCAAATACTTATGTTTATCTTTTAATGGAAAATATGTCATTGAGTTGAATGTGACCTGGTCTGACAATCTTGGCCAATGTTCTGCATGCTAAACAAGGCATTGTAGTATTTACTGGTATTTAATAGGTTATGATGGGTTCCTGTCTCTGTCACTTTTCCATTCTGAACAACAGCTATTATATCTGCACTAACATAGTTGACATTCTGTGTGCAATTAAGATGACCGTTCTTCCTTGCATGGCTGTGTCGAGTGCTTCTTGAACTTGTTTCTCTGAATCTGTATCAAGTGCACTGGTGGCCTCATCAAGCAAAAGAATTGGAGGGTTCTTTAATATTGCTCTTGCTATTGCAATTCTCTGTTTCTGTCCACCTGATAACTGGAGGCCCCTTTGTCCTACCTAGAATGCAAACATATGACATGAAAGCTAATTTATCACTTCGTAGTTTTTTTCAAGAAACTTGTGCTTAAGAAATCAAAACATTGTTAACATGAAAGCTGATTATCCATTTGACTTATGCCAGAGTGAAGGATATCTGTGAGTGGTTTACATGTATTATACGGTGATGTAGCAGCTTTTGCAGCATCTCTGTATTCTTTTTGTGCATATGTGCCATTTTTCTTGCCATACTATTTCCAGCTTGTTTGTATTAGAGATGGTGATTTCTTTTGACATTATTACTGTGCTATTGGAGACTTAGGTTGGCACTTTCTACAGCCATATCCTGTCAATTTGATTTGTATGTGAGGCTGGCGCATGACGGAAAAGGGATAAAGAAGAAGCTTTGCTCATGTACTTCTCACTCAGGATACTGTTCATGCAGTCTCTGCTTGAAGATTGTCTGAGTAATTTTAGATAAAGATTAGTTTTTGAAGCAACTAATTGTTGATATCCTAGTTGTTTTAGTATCTTTAAAATTTTGTTACACTTTAAGTAGCTTCTTTGATGACTAGTATCTGAGTTGTAGGATTATTAGGTCTTCATTTCCTATATTAGTAATTAACAACTCACTGTTGTTGTTTTGTTCGTTGTAGTCGTTATTGTTGTTGTTGTTGTTGTTGTTGTTGTTATTATTCATAATTGACCTCTAACTTAAGGGTTTTGCTTATATAGAAACATTCTATTGATTTTCCTTTACTTTCTGGCTAAAAAGTAAGCGCGAACTTATTTCACAGTTCATTAGTTGTTGGTTATTCCAACTAATGGAACTCTTTTTAATTAGTTATCGGTTGTTCCAACTAACTGAGGATTCTCTCTGGATGTGGCTTTGAGCTATGGCGGTATAAAAATTAATGTAAATATCATTAGCATTGGATAAAAGAGGCTAGGTGCTAGATTTCACTAAGTCTGGTATGAAATTTTGCTATATTAGTTGTGGGAAGTTATAAGTTTTGTTTCAATTGTGCAGGTTTAAGGCCATTCCTAATTGGAAAGTTTTTTTTTGTTCAATTTCATTTTGAATCTTAGATATTCTACAAAAAACAATTGGCCTTTTGGTGTTTCACAGTTTCTTAAATGCCTCAGCTTTAACTCCTTGGAAAATCTACTGGTTATGAACAAGCATGTAAATTTAAGCCAGCCTTCTTCCTTTCTTCAACAATATCTCTTTTCCGGTGACTTTGACCATATTATCTCCATATCTAAAAGAATGGAAATTTAATAATGTGTGTGAGGGGCACTGGTCTGACCTCTGTATGATATTTATGAGGGAGCTGTTGTATAAAAGAATGAGCATTTGCCAAGGATGCTGCTCTTTCAATATCCTCATCATCTGCATCCATTTTTCCTATCTTGATGTTGTCCTTAATGCTGCCAGCAAATAGTGATGGTTCCTGGGAAACTAGTCCGATATTTCTCCTCAGAAACTTTAAATCAAGATCCTTGATGTTATGATTGTCAAGGAGAATATCACCTGAGGGATTTCATACTGAGTTAGTGTTCTAACATTCATATATAAATGAGGCAACTTTATCTGACTATGAAGATTATGTACATTAATAAGCTTCTGCAGGTAAGAGCTGAGATTTCTAATTAATAGTGGAGGGATGACGAACCTTTCTTTGCATCATAAAATCTCATCAATAATGAGATGATGGTGCTTTTACCACAACCACTACTTCCCACAAGTGCCACGACTTTTCCTGCTGGAATGGACAAAGAAAACCCTTGAAGAACCATCTTTTCGGGCCGCAATGGGTAAGAAAAGTGTATATCCTCTATACTGATGTTTCCATTAATCACATCCAGCGTCTTCCCTCTCGAGTCAGCACTGATTGTTGGTTTTCTTTCGATCATCTGAAAAATCTCCTTTCCTGCAGCTTTTGCTTGATTGAATATTTGCATATCTGGTGCAGCATATGTGAGTGCTCTGAAATTAAAAGAAAGATAATAAAACCATCTTTTTTCTGACAGTATTTTGATTTCTTCTTCCTCTTTCTTCATAGCATGGTAGATTCTATTGTAAAATATGATGTTTTGGCTCTTACATTGCACCAAACAGAATGCTCATAACTGTAGCTATGACATCTCCGCCACTTGATCTCCGAGCTGATACAACAACAGCTCCCACCCACACAATAAGAGCCCATGAACTGAAAGTTACAGTCTGGAAAATGCCCGTTCCAACACCCTTTATAAATGCTTCTTTCTTGCTTAGGTTCATCTGTTTTCCGATGCAGTCTAAGAACGACTTGATTGATGAAGTCTCTCCAACAAAAGCAAAAACGGTTTTGATTTGAGAGATTGTCTGTCATGGAGCAGCAGAGGTGCAGTATGAATAATCATTCAGTAATGTAAGTAAGATCTGCCTATACTTTGATAACATGTTGTCACCAAAGAAAATGGATAAGCTTGTTACCTCTTCTACCATTGATGTGGCATGTGACAGGTATGCCATTTTCATGGCTGAAATTGCACTCATTTCTTTTGTATAACTGGCGCCAATTAATAAGATTAGTGGGACAACAAGTAAGGATAGGAGTGACACTTCCCAGCTGGATATGAATGCAATCAGGACTCCGCAAAAGAAAGTTGAAATGCTTGACATAAAATGTCCCAACTGTCAGGAAAGGAAACATGTTTAGGTGTAATTGAATCGTTGCCATTCGAGTGTTAATATTGGATTGTATTCAAGATTTAGGAGATATCAAATGTCTGATTTGGTGATGAGATTTTTGTGACCAGGTCTTTCCAACTGCTTGTAGATTGTTTTAGAACTCAATTAACTTCATACATCTATTTGCATGTTTTAATGTTTTATGCAGAAATTGAGTTGCTAATTGAATCAGCCAACTATTTGCTAGCTAGTTCTCATTCAAGCTTAGCTGTGTCTTTGATACTTATGCTTGCAGAGGTGCAAATATGGGCACCTTAGGAATTAAAAGATGACACTGGACCATAAATAGTTGAGCATGAGCGTTGTACCTTCTCTCCAATTGCATCCTGTATGAGTGACATGTGGCTGCTTATTCCAATGATTATTTTCCCACTATTTAGATCTGTATCAAACGCCCCAATATCCTGTTTGAGAACAGCACTCAGAAATTCCAGTCTTAAACGCGCTACTTGTCTTTGACTAGCGTACATCCAGCATCCTATCTCTGCATCATACATGTGAACTTAGGTTTGTAACTTTAGCATATTTGTTTCTATATTTCAGATGCCGTATAATATACTTTGATCCGTGTGGTTTTAATACGAAACTATTTGTCCTTTCCCTAGCTCTTTTTTGTTTTGTTTGATTAATAACATGCTGTTATCGTATTTGTGTTTGTGCATGTGTGTGTGTGAGTGATCTTGGCGAAGAGCCGCTTTGAGCCTTACTAGTCTGAAATGTTGGTGACTGGCCGACTGTAATGAAATTACCTAGTATTCCAGCAGGGAAGGTGGCAAATGCCATATACCAGACAAATGGAATGACCTGCAATATAGCATACAAAAACAGCTCAAGAACCTTTCTGAAATTGTTGAAAATCCATAACTCAAACAAGGTGATGTGTTTATTGGATCACCAGTTCTTGATCAGTTTGTTTTTAGTAATTATCTCTTTAGATTAGATTGCATTTATCTTCTAGAATAAGATGATATTATAGTTAGGCATTTAGAGTTATCCCTTTGATTTAGATAGGATTCACAGTTATTAGGTTTACATAGAACTCTACAAAGATGGTTGATGTAACTTGTATTTAAACTCATTGAGGTATTCAATAACAGATACAGTATTTTCCATCATCTACTCAAGTTTTTATATGGTATCAGAACCTATACTACTCTAACGAGCTAGATCCTTTTTTTTTTCAAACACCAAATCCTCCAATGACGAAAGATGGAAACACAACCAGAGTTGTCAATGCCGACAACACTGCTGGTACCATCACCATAGTTCAATTCAACCCCGCTTCCCAACTACCTATCAAACTTAGTGGCAGTCACAATTTTGCTAGTTGGAAAGCTCAGTTCTCCATGCTTATGCATGGTCATGACCTCTATGGTCATCTTGATGGATCCACCCCAGCCCCCATTCGGAGCACCACTTTTGGAACCAACACAACCCCTAATCCTGCTTGCACACTTTGGTTCCGTCAGGATCAACTTATTCAAAATGCCCTTATGGCTTCCGTTGACCCTACCATAGCCTCCACAATTGCCGCTGCTAACACATCAAAACAGGCTTGGGACTCTTTGCACACGGCCTACGCAAACAAGTCCCAGACCCGAATCTTCAGTCTTCGTGATCAACTTGGCCGAATCACCAAAGACACCACTCCTATCACCGAGTACCTTCAACGTATTCGGTCCCTTTCAGATGAACTTGCTACTACCGGTGCCCCTGTCATTAATTTCCGAACTCATAGTCAAAATCCTTGGTGGACTTGGCCCTGAGTTTCGTGAGATCTCGGCTGCCATACGGGCACGTGATACTATAGTTACTTATGAAGAACTATATGAAAAGCTGCTTGACCATGAGCTCTTTCTTCGGCATGAGGAAGCTAAGAAAACCCATGGTCCTATCACAGCAGCTGTTGCCACTTACAACAAGTCAAATAACAACTCCAACAATCGCAATAGTCGCCGCCAATACTACAACAACAACACCAATAACTCAACCATGACGCCAGAATGCTCGCCCCAATAATGTCAGCCAATATCATCCCCCAAACAATAACACCACTGTTGTTATTCACTGTCAATTATACAACAAGATTGGCCATGTTGCAAGTGTTTGCCGATCCAAGTCACACAATCACTTTGAGGCTAAAGCCAATTACATCACAGGCTTCAACACTACTGCTAACCCATGGATAGTTGACTCTGGTGCCACACATCACATCACAATGGAGCCGCATAACCTACAACCGTACCACGATAACGAGGATGTCTCCATGGGTGATGGTAACAAAATTCCCATCTCACATACTGGTTCTACACAGTTACAAGCATCAAATAATATTTTTAAGCTAAATCATACTCTATGTGCTCCAGCCATTAAACGCAATCTTATATCTGTATTCAAGCTATGTCATGATAATCTAATATCTGTTGAATTTTTCCCCTTTTCTTTTGTTGTGAAGGATCTGAAAACGCGAACCCCACTGGTGTACGGCCGGAAGAAACATGGACTGTATGAGTGGCCCAATTCACATCCACAAGCTCACATATCTACCACTACAACCCCTCTGACCACTTGGCATCAAAGATTGGGTCATCCGCACTCTAGAGTCCTTAATTATGTCTTGAATAAATTCTCGCTACCATTTGTTGAACGAGATAAGTTTCATTATTGTAATTCCTGTTTGTCTAATAAATCCCATCGGCTTCCGTTCCACACATTAACTTTGGAAAGCTCTAAACCGCTTCAAATTATTTTTAGTGATTTGTGGGGGCCCTCTCCTGTTTTGTCCCTTGATAAAAAATTATATTATTGCATCTTTGTTGACCAGTACACAAGATACATGTGGCTTTATACACTAAAAAATAAAAGGAAGTCAAGGAGTTGATCCAAAAATTCTACCCTTTAACAGAAAAAGTATTTCGATACCAAAATTCAATCGCTTTATACTGATGGTGGAGGAGAGTATAAAAGTCTTGACTCTTATCTCTCCCTTCATGGTATCGAACATCTTTCCACCCCATCCTATACGCCTCAACGAGTTGCTCTTGCTGAGCATAGACATCGTCATATTATTGAAACTGCAAGAACAATTTTACATGAGGCGTCTCTTCCACCGATTTTTTGGTCCTTCGCATGTCACCATGCTGTGTATTTGATTAATCGTCTACCCACGTCACTCTTGAATAACTCTTCCCCGTTTGAAAAATTATTTGGCAAGTCACCTGACTATGCCTCTCTAAGGACTTTTGGATGANCCCTCCTTCACAGAGCTCTACTCCAGGTATGTGTACTACTCCTCCTCCAACTCCAATTCCCCAATATCCCTACTGCCTAAACCCATCCCCTAAGCCTTCTATGAGACCCCAAGCCTCCAATCCCCCTATAAAATCACCCACTCCATCTCTGATAGTCTACAATCGTCGTTCCCCATACCCCAAATCCACTACTTCAATGGCACCTCCCCCTGCTCCACCACATGTACCTACCCCTCCAACTCATATAGTCACCCGCTCGCAGAACAACATCCAGAAACCAAAACATATTTTTGATTACCTAGCCTACTCAGAACCATCCCTTGTACCACACACCTTCAAACAAGCCCAAAAGCACCCTGAGTGGAGGAAAGCCATGAATTCAGAATTTGATGCTTTACTGAAAAACAATACTTGGGAACTAGTTCCATATGACCCCTCTAAGAATGTTGTTTCACGTAAGTGGCTTTTCAGGATTAAAAGGAAAGCAGACGGGTCAGTTGATCGTTACAAGGCGAGACTAGTTGCGAAAGGACTCACTTAGAGGTCGGGCATTGACTTTCACTCGACTTTCAGTCCGGTTTTTAAATCCACTATTGTGCGAATCATACTTGTTGTTGCCCTTCGGTTTCACTGGCCCCTTCGTCAACTCGACGTCAATAATGTTTTTCTTCAAGGTGACCTTGAAGAAGAAGTGTACATGACACAACCTCCAGGATTTACTTGTGTTGATAATCCAACTCATATTTGTAAGTTGTGCAAGGCAATCTATGACTTGAAGCAAGCTCCTCGGGCTTGGTATAATGTGCTCAAAGGCCATCTTGCCCACATGGGATTTTCTAAGGCAGAATCTGACAACTCATTATTCATCAGAAATAGTAATGTTGGTTTCATGTTTATTTTGGTATATGTTGACGACATAATAGTAACTGGCAGCAACTCCATCACCGTCAATGAAGTTATAGCCTCTCTTGCCTCTCGCTTCTCCATTAAAGATTTGGGAAATCTCAATTATTTTCTTGGTGTTGAGGTGGTTCGAAATGCTGATGACATTATTCTCTCGCAAGCCACTTATATCAATGAAATTCTGAATGATGAGTTGATGGTTGATTGTAAGAGCGCAAACACACCGATGAGTGCTTCTGAGTTGCTCAAACTCAATGATGGGGCTCCGTTAACTGATGCGACTTGCTATCGTCGAGTCTTGGGCAGACTTCAATATCTTTCGTTTACAAAGCCGGGCATTTCCTATGCAATCAACAAATTATCCCAATTTATGCAATCACCATCTGATCTTCATTGGAAAGTTGTGAAGCGAGCTCTTAGGTACCTTCTTGGTACGATCAAGTTTGGCCTACGTGTATCCCCGAATTTTGATTTCAACTTGCGTATGTACTCTGATGCGGACTGGGCTGGAGATCTCACTGATAGATCCTCCACATCCGGTTATATTTTGTTTCTTAATAGCAATCCTATCAGTTGGTCCTCCAAAAAGCCAAAGACTGTAGCTCGCTCATCAACTGAAGCTGAATATAGAGTCGTTGCCAATGCACTCGCCGAACTACTGTGGGTCAGAAACCTACTGCTTGAGATGCGACTCCCTGTTGGAGATACCCCTACTATCTACTGTGACAACATTGGTGTCACTTATCTAAGCGAGAATCCGGGCCTTCATAGTCGCATGAAACATATTGAGGTGGACTTTCATTTTGTACGCAACAATGTTGAACAGAAGGTGGTTCGAGTTGTTCATGTTCATTCTGCTGACCAACTAGCTGATATGCTCACGAAAGCACTGGCCAAACCAGCCTTTGAACGCAATTTGTTCAGGTTAGGCTTAGTGACACATAGCCTAGCTTGAGGGGGGCAT